TTCGCATGTAAAGAGACTTTCGCATTTGGATTGGAGTTTTCTTTATGAACAAAGTTGGGATTCTTAGACTTCCAGAAATGCTTTCTTTCCTTGAGATTTTTGTTATATCTAGCATTCCTTTGGCATTTTTGAGTTGCGAACTAATCAGATGATTTGTGAATACTAGCCTAAGGCTTTGGTTTTCTGGTAGGGATTTCGGTCTGAACAGACGATGTGTCACTTGGAACATTCTTAGTTCCACTAGGACTTCCCTTTTCGTAGCTTGAATTGACTTTGTTTAGGGGTTTTGCTACGTGTCGACTCTTCATTTTCCAGGAGGTTGTTTCAGATAAACCCTTGGTTTCGTCTACATTGTCGATTGGAGCAGACCAGAAGAATTCGTCACAACCATCTTTGTTATCATCTTCAACCATGGACATTAATTCAACTGTTTGATTTTTGTTCAGTTCTTTAGTTGTAAAAACTTGGTTAGGGACAGTTTGAAATTTTGGGAAAACAGTTGCCTTCGCTTTTAAAACTATAGATTTATTTTCAGAAATACGTGCAAATTCAACTGAATTCTCAAAAATTAGGACTTTCGTAGGTATAAGTTCGTTTTTAACAAACTCATAGCAGTCTACCTCATCCTCCACAGAAATTTCACTCATATCACTTTCATCGTCGAATTCAGAAATGTTTTTAATATTGAGTTTATTTTCCGAACTCAACTTGATGCTTAATGAGTCAAACTTCTATACAGTTTTGGATTTAATTTTCTCTTTGTCCTTTTCATCCAAAAGTTGTTTAAGCATGTTTTTGTGATCTTTGGACTTTATGAAAGATTCAATTTTGTCCAGTCCTACTCTGTATGCATCTAAGGTTTCGTCTGATGAGACGACTGATTTTCACCTATAGCAGTCTGCATCGATTTCGTTATATTTCAAGTAGTGAAAGGGCAAAATCATCTTGTGAATTTTCTTTTCAATATTACAATTAAGATGTAACTGAGTAATATTAAAGTAGAGTCTTTTGGAAATCAAGCTAAAAATGTTATGTTGTTTTAAAGAACCTAAATTATCTCTCTACAAATAAATTGACTCATCCCTAGACTTAGACAAATCAGACTCCAACTGTTCAATCCACATGCGTCTCTCTTCACTTTTTGACGAAATCCCGCCGAGATGATTTGTTAAGTTAGAATTTGTTAAATGAGTTTATTTTAGACTATCACTGAAACTTGAAAATGTGTATATTAAGTCGTTCAATTCAGTTTCATATCTAGCCATAGGTATATTCAGAGATTCAAGAATGGAGTGTACCTTGTTGATCACCTGCTCGCACTCAATTATCTGCTCAAGAACTAGTTTTGCAGCGAAATAGCTATCAGCGCTACGTCCTCCATCTATTGCATAGCCCCTCATCTCTGACACTTCACTGGTAACCATCAAACACCTTCCATTGAACTGCGAAACTTCATCCTTCACCATGAAGCTCCTTCCATGAGTAGGTCTGCGAAACCTCTTCATCTTTTAAGTCAGTCGACCAGACATCGAGTCTACGAAACTCATCTTTAAATTTGTTTTCCTGCACAATCAAAGCAGGCATGGTGTTATCAGCGTTCTTCTTCTTTTTGATCTCCTCCAGCTTTCGTAGATAGTATGTATCGTCATCCTCTTCCTCCTTCCTCTTGTTCATTCTTCTCAGCATGCATTCCTTGGCCAGATGGTTTTTTCCATGGCAGTAATTACAATCATAGTCGGAGTCCCCTATAAGCTTTTTATCCTTCTTTGCTTATTCTTTCTGAGAGTTATTCACACTCTCTTCCTTTACCTTTTTAGAGCTATAACTGTCCTACTAGTTTCAGTTCTTGTTACGACCAAAGTTCTTCTTTGCGAATCTCTTTGGATTAGACACCATCATAGCAAATTCCTCCTTAGCAAGTTCACAATCAGAGAGATCAGACTCCAAAACATCATCATCTACTGCCTTTTTACCCTTCGCAACTAGGGCCAATGATCCCATCCCAGAAAATATCTTCCCTTATTTCTTCTCTTCATCTTCATGTGACTTCAGTATTACAACTAGCTTTGCCAATGTGTATTTCTTGAACTGCTCATGCGCTTTTACGGTAGAAACAACAGCCTTCCATTCAGATCTTAGCCCATTCATGAACGTGAATTTTTGCTCGATTAGTTCATGTCCAATCTTATGCTTCGTCATCCTACTGAGAAGATGATTATAGCGATTGAAAGTTTGATATAGACTCTCTTCAGGCTTTTGTATAAATGCTCCAAACTCTGAAAGCAGTAGAGTTTGAGTAGAATGCTCAAGATCAGCATCCGTTGAGCATAATTCCTTAAGCCTATCCCAAATGGATTTTGTTGTGTCGTATGAACTAACCAAACGAAAAGTGTCTGATAGCAAAGCAAACTTGATAATCCTTATTGCTTTAACATTACTTATCAAACTGTCCTTCTCATCTTGTGATACGTCTTTTACATTAAGGAGAAGCTTGTTATAGTGGGCTTGAGTTTTAATTTCTCTTCTTGATCCTGTATGAGTAAATGTTTGGACAGTAATGGCTTCCCATATCAAATAGTCATTATCTTCAAGCCCTAAGGCATACTCTTCAAAGTGAAATGCCCACACTTCATAATCACTGGGGAAAAGAATAGGGATTCTAGTTGTAGATCCAATGTCGTTTGAAAGATTTATGGAGTTAACGTGAGAATCGTATGACATGTTTAAAGATCGATTAAAACCTGTATGAATCAGATGTGTAAACTAAAATGGTTTTTGGGTAATATAAAGATCAAAGATCAGCGTCAATACCAATGATTACAGCTGAATCAGATCTAATAATAGTGGAAACCCTAAAAACTCTTTCAATAAAAGAGATGCGTATAGATTACACAGTCTCCTGCTCTGATACCAATTGTTGAGATTAAAACTCTAAAGATCGAATAAATTCAAACAGGAAAAAGCAATCAAACACAGAATATGAATCAAGAAAGTGTCGAAGATTTAAAAGTCACAGCCTCAGAAGAGCTCGATAAGGAATTGGTACTATAGAGGCTATGTAGGGTTTACAATGACACAATTATATAATCCACGATGCATACATGCACCTTAAATAGTAAAATCCTAATCATTAATCACAGGTGGACATGCCCCCCGGATATACAAAAGACTATGTACAAAAACCCAAAAGACACAACACCTTAATCTCTAACAAGCTTGATCTTAAAGGCGAAGTTGTCATTTTTCCGTTGGAGACTGATTCAATTTCGTGCAACTCTGCGACAAACTGTGGGGGTCGAAGGGATCAAATGTAGATGGAGATGTCTGTGAATCGATCTTTAAATTATAAATGCCACGTATCTTCCAGCTAAACAAGTGGTTAACGGTTGATTAAAGGAAAACTGGCTAATAGGAAAAAACGACCCGTTTAATGTAAGTTTCACGCAAAAACGCATATAAATTTAAACTTTAGGCAAATCCGACAATTTTGTGCAAATTTAAGGGTTTTTATGTCATTAGCCCTGTAATACACAATTGAAAACATCCAAATAGAAAAAGCCACATGCATATAAATTATAATCTTATAATGTTGGAAAGCTTGGAATGAGGGTTTTCCCCTTTATGGGCTTGTTTTACCAATATATATATATATATATATATATATATATATATATATATATATATATATATATATATATATATATATATATATATATATATATATATATAGAATGTATGAAAAGCGATATAAATAGGGTTATAAAACGAACCAAACGTTTGATGAACCGTTCAACGGAAAGTTTATTTATATTCGTTTATTTAATAAATAAATGATCATAAACATAAATTCTCGTTCGTTTAGTTGAACAATGGTCTCATTCGTTCATTTATGTTCGTACATTTCTTTATGTTCATTCATTTAAATTTGTTTATGTTATATATGTTCAATTGTTTTTTATTACATCACTATATTATATGATCGTTTATATTCATATATGTTTAAATATATTTGTTTATCGTTGTTCGTTTATATTCGTTTAACATGTTCACGAACATAAACAAGATAATTTGTAGAACAAACGAACATTAACAAGAAAACTCATCGTTTATTCATTCGTGTTTTTCGTTTGTTCGGCTAATTCAAATAAACAAACATTTGTTCAGTTCGTTTACAGCACTACATACAAACATATTGGTCAAACTATTTTTTTATAGAGATTATAAGCCTAACTTAATGATTTCTTTTTATTCCTTAAAGGCTCCTTCTAAAGCTAATATTATTTGCTTGTTTTTGCATACAAAGCCAAACCTAAGCAACACACATCTAAATTAGAACTTGTAAATTACATAAAATCAAACAAATTAAATTAAATAACAAATTGATCAATTTTTATTTTAGGTTAAATTTTGCAATAAAGTCGTCATGTGAATGATAACCTATTGTATTAATTAGAAAAAATAAACGTTTTTCATAATAAAATGGACATGTATTTATAATTTTGACTTTTAAAACAAAACAACAAACACAAAAGTTTCGTTGACTAAAAATCCCTATGTTGAATATTAGTAGGATTGCGAGCGATTTGCATCGAGGTAAACCTCAAAATCCGTACCAACATTTTAAATTCAAGCCGTTTATTGACTATAAAAGTATATATAAAGGCCCACTTCAACTTTATCTCCTTTATTTTTTTAACCGACAAATATAACCTAAACTACTCCTTAAAGTTATTTTTGTCCACATCGCATTTAAACCCTTAACCATGAACCAGCACTAGATATCGTTGGGTTAAAAATCATTTGGTACTTTAATTTTATAGCTAAATTAATATATATATATATATATATATATATATATATATATATATATATATATATATATATATGAAATAGTTGAGAATTATAATAATTATTTTTTAAAAATTATTCTTATAAAATTTATAAAATAATATAAACCTAATAATTAAAAAACCAAAACTCTTAAAAAGTTATTTAAGATATTATTCAACCTCATTTCCTTCAAACACACCATCAACATATGGAATATCCTCAACTTCATTTACATCCTATTAATCAAAATTTAAAAAATACTTATTAATAAAGGATATAAACAGTTTTATACTAATGATTAGAATTTAGAAAATAATGAAGTCAAACTAGCCATCTCAACTGGTGGCATATCATCCAATTCAATTTGTACCCCTCTCACGATCTCTATTTCAGCCATGTTATATCCTGTCCCAAGTAGGTCTACTACACTTTCTAGATCTAGCTTCATCATCTATGGGATAACATCACTTGTATCTCCTTCAGTGAATTCAGGTTTAGGATTACCCTCATTCTCATATATTTTTTTCATCAATAACTTTAAGAATAGCATCTATTGCATCTCCAACCTCATCAAGTATTTTTGCCAGGCTAGGTTTAACATCCTCAACACCTCTTTCATCATTACCATGAAGAATATTTTGAAGAATAGCATTCATTGCATCTTGGAATCCATCACCTTTCTCATTATTACCCTTTGGTTGGCTAATAGTAACTTCAAAAATACACATCATATCAACTACACTGTCATCGTCAATATCTTCTTTGTCAAACAAATCTTGCATTTGTTCCTCAAACCCCTACCTTCAACATGACCATCTATGTCATCATTCTCATCAACTAGAACTCTATCTTCCACAATACCACCACCTCTTTTTATACCCAACTTCTTTTTGCTTCTAATAGATTTAGAACATGATGCTTGATTTGGGTCAGATTAGGCCTTTTTTTCTTGTCCTTCCTTTCTTCTTTGGTGGAATAAGAACTGGTTCCTGCCTCTCAGACCTACCACATGATGCTTGATTGGGTTCACATTGTTCCTTCCTTGGAATTACTTTCTTCTTTGGTGGCATAGGGACAGGTTCCTTGGTTGCATTATTGCATCCCTTCTGGTTATGGCCATACTCAAAGCACTTACCATACCTTTCAGTTCTTGGGGTGTGTACTCTTCCATCATTTCACTTACATGTCTCCTTCTATTGACCTTCAGCCTACCAGGCATTCTCCTTGACACTAGTGGTAAGGGTTTTATGAATTCAGTTTGAGGCCATAGATTTGAACCATTCATAGGACTAGTGTTAGTAGAGTAACACTAAAGGAATTGTTCCTTGGACAACATGTCATCAATATACTCATCAGGTGCTTGATGGATATTGTTGATGGTTGCAATGGCATGAACACATTGGATCCCAGCCAGATCCCATAACCTGTAGGTATAGTTCCTTCCATTCAAATCCACCATGTAGCTATCACATCCTCTCCTTGCTTCAAACACATGTTGTTGAATATGAATTATTAACCAAAACCTACATCCACAAGTTTAGGGATAGTATGTTAAAGTGTTATTTAATGAAATTAAAACAAATTTACATGTTAGAGTGTTACCTCATGTTCTTTCGAAAAAGCTTCATCTTATTTAACACTGTTGGATAGATATTGGCATTCCATTTAGTTCTTTCCTCAATCATATGAGAAAACCTATCCATGATGTATATCCTTATTTCTTCAAGCATTGTGATCAATTGTTTTTTCCTAGCATCCACAATGATGGATTTGAAGCACTCTGATATACCATTTTCCACTCCCTCACATGCATACCCAGTACTCATGGAAGCTCTACACCATGTTTGGGGTTCTTTGGACATTAGATGCTCATATGCACTAGGATTGAGCTTTTTAATTATGTTAATGTGACTTTTGACATCACCTTCCACACAACTCATAACTGCAACCAAAAATAGCTTCTTGAACTCCAACCCAGTGTAAGCTTTCTAAAATTTGCATATATGTGTCGGGCACATTGCCTGTGCTCCACATGTTGCAATATATCTTTAACAAATTGCAAAAAAAAAACCCTATACAAAAACCATCATACATGTAGGTATTCATAAGTAATTTGAAAAGGATTATTATTTTATAAAGAAACTTACTTTACGTTGATCTGATATAACTACCAATCCCCAACCATCAATCAGGTCTAGATCATCACTTAGAAGCTTAAGTAACCAAGTCCATTTGGACTTATTTTCCACATCAACAACAACGCAAGTAATTGGATAGACTTGGTTGTTTGCATCTCTTCCAATCGATGTTAACAGTTTACCCTCCACCTTTCCCTTTAGAAAGCACCTGTCAAGCCCAATTAGTCTCCTACACCCACTTTTCCAGCTAACAATTAATGCTTTGAAACAAATATAAAACCTGTGAAAATAATTATTTCCATCTAGATTGGTTGTTACACCAACTTGACATGTGGACCCTGGGTCTGACCTTAACAATTTATTAGCATAATCCCATATCCTTTCATAATGCTCAGTGAGTTTACCTTTTATTAAATTTTTTGGCCCATTTCCTTGCATTCTAACTTATCCTATAGATACCACACACCTATACCTTTGTACGATGTCATTAATCATTTCCTGAAGTTTCATCTTTGGCTTATTTGCAATTTCAGTCACATAATTTCCTCCAATCCCCAAACTTAAACTGCCTAGAACATTTATGGTTACCATTTACAACTTTGATCTGAAATGATCTTTCATTGTACATCCATGTAGCATAAAGTCTAAAAGGGCATTTATTCTCATCCTTCCTCTTGCCATATCTAACTATAATTCTTTTACTATCACATTTTTCAAAGTATATTCTATTACCATGTTACATTGCATAATTGGGCAGGGGATTTAAAGATGTCACCAAGCTTTGGTACCATCTTGTCCCACTTCATGGTTAGGTCATGAATTCTATAGTTGTTTTTCAATACCTCATGTTTGTCTTCATCACTCTGCCAATCAGTAGCACGACACACTTGTGATCTGATTTCATCTGCCATACTAGAATTTCGTTGGTTTTCATCACTGAATAGAACATTTAGAAAGATATCCTTACATTTATCAAGTGAGGACACAAATTCTTCCTCTAGTTGTGGTCCATGTAAATGTCGTGGAGTTCAAAATCCATTTCACTCAAGCCAGAAAATGGTTCATGTATGCCAGCAAAGGGGTCAGTGTACCCTTCGTCTCATGAAGCAATTACACCCTCCTGCATAAACACAATAAGTTTAGAAACCCATTTCAAGAAATGTTGAATGTAAACACAACAAGATCATGATTTGTAAAAACCATACCTTTCAAAGAACAATTTTACCCAATTCGTCTCCTAGAAAACCCTCTTTTGTAAAGCTTTTCTTTGTGTTCAGTCGACGAAATGGAGAAAATATGAAAAGTGATCGGGATATAGACGGAGGATGAGGATGCGACAGTTTAACGTCCGTAACGGACTTGGAGTTTTCTCCCAAACGACATTAATGAGCCTTCCAGCTAAGCAATTGGTAACCTGTTAATAGGCAAAATTGACCTATTTAATGCAAGTTTCAGGCAAAAACGCACATAAATTTGAACTTTGGTCAAATTCGTCAATTTTGTACAAATTTGAAGGGTTTTATGCCATTAGTCGTGTAATATATATATATAACATCCGAAATAAAATTACCATTTCATTTACGATGATAACATCTTTAAGCATTTGATGTACTCATCACTATCATAAATATAATAGAATGTCATTTAAGTGTCATCTCATCATCATAGGAGATATCACATTAACTTGATATAATGATACATCATTTTTTTCAATTATAAAAAAGTAAAAGTACTAGATTTTTAATTAAAATAAAAGCATTACTAGTTTTTGCATTAGAATAAAAAATTACAATCATTAAAATTCAAAAGGCAATACTAAAATTAAAATTAAAATATGAAAATTAAAAATACATAAATGAAAACAAACATAAAAAAATGTCAAACATTGAAAATAAAACTAATTCTATTCTTATATCTTGTTCAGACGTCGAAGAAATGTCTCTAAATCTTTGCTCTCATAGTCGTCGGGTTTCATTTTCTAAACCTCCAAATCAGCATTCATTCTTATTGTCGACTGTGGATCTACGTTTCTTGTTCCACCCGCCATTATCTAAATTTTGTTCTCTCATAATTTGACATATCGATAAATTTTTTCTCCAAAATGATCGATAACACTAGAATTTGAATTTCTTGAACATGAACCGAAAGCCGCTTTCTTTGCTTTATTTATTTTGTTATGTCGACGTAGATGTTGATCATCTTCAAGATCCATCGACTCATCATTGATGTCGATTGCAAGCAAGTACAATGTGTTGTCTTGTCGATTAGTGAAGTTTGACTATGAAATCATCTAGGTTGACTATGAATTCAAAAGGTTGAACTATGAACTACAAACAAGTATAATGTGTTGTCTTGTCGATCAGTGAAGTTTGACTATGAAATCATCTGGGTTGACTATGAATTCAAAATTTTGAACTATGAATTGCAGATAAGTACAATGTGGTGTCTTGTCGATTAGTGAAGTTTGACTATGAAATCAACTGAGTTGACTATGAATCCTTCAAGCTGAACTATGAAGTCCAAACATGCACCAACTTGTGTATAATTATAATTGGATTTGTGTGATGATTGTAAAACAATTTCATTGCTTGTGAAAATGAGTACTTACACTGAAAGAAGATTTTGTCACCTACCAATATTCTTGCATAATCTTCAAAGAACAAATAGTAATACCTTCACAACCATCAAGAAAATAGATACCAACCACTTTTAATTTTGTTTCGTGGCTTTAGGTTGCGTGTTATAACATCTTTATTTTATTGAGTTACTTAATAGTTCTAGGTAATGTGCCTCGTTTAAATTTTGCTTGTCACTAATATAAGTATGATTTTTTATATAGATCCATACCTTCCTTAGGTGCATGATATCGTTTATATATGTGGGTTTTTTACCCCTACTTGGCAACTATCTGAAAACAATGTACTTTGTGGTGGCTTTGGAACGAAACCATGAACACCTACTCTTAGCAGTTGGTTTGGGAACGTTAGAGTGTGAGGAATCTTGGCTATGGTTCACGATGAAGTTAAAAGAATGTTTAAGTGACGATACAGAGGTTGGTTTCATAAGCAATCTATGTGATAAAATATACTTTGTTGTTGAGAGAGTCTACCTATACTTGTATCATGGGTATTGTCCTAAAGATATAGCTCGAAAAATACGAGATTCTATCGGACAAAACGATACAGAAGTCGAAACGTTATTTTGGAACTCGTGCAATGCATATAGGGTTCATGATTTTTACTTGTGCTTGGAAAGGTTGCAAAGTGCATATAGGAATCCACCTTTCTGCACCTTACTTAGGATTCTAATTTTCTGGCTTGACAATATAGCAATTTCAAAATGTGCACGGGAATTTTTCCTTAAAGTACGTTACAATGTTAAATCGATTGATATTCCTGAAAGGGTGAAAACTATATCCACCTACACACGTGAGTTACTTATAACAATGATAATTGAGTTAATGTATAAGTCGATACAATCAACGTATGATGAACGGTATGAAGTTGCAGGTAACTTTATACTTATAGTTTGTTTTTTCTTGTGTTATTATTTATAAGTAACAAATATTACAGGGAGGATTTCTATTCAGGTTACCCCTTATGTTGAGAATAAGGTTCAAAAGCGTGTGAACAAGTCTTATAATT